ATAAATTAATATTATTTCTTGGTCCTAAAGCAAAATGACATTCTATAATAATAATAATAATAATATTCTAAAGTTTTGATAAGAAATTGTAGAATAGTTATAAAATTAATTTTATAACTATGGCTATATATGGATTTTTTTTACCCTTAACATTTCAACATGTTTGCGTGTCTTGTCCCTTGTCTACTTCTAGTCAAACCTCTTATTTTAATAAAATCATTTATATTAATATCATTAAATTATTTTAATATAAATAACTTACTCAACACTTTAATAAACTTTAATAAATTTAGCTCAAGGGCCAAATTGTACCCACAAAAAGTTAGATGCCCAGTTGCAGCTCAAAGACAAAGTCAGGGGCCACATTACATCAAAAAAAGTCATGGCTCTAATTGTATATTAATGTCAAACCTGGGGTCAAATGAACATGAACCCAAAGGAAAATTAGAATTAGGATGATGAAATTCATCAAAATTTCAGTCGTTAAATGGAGTGTTGTTCTCTTTTGAGATCTTGAGTTCAAACAATTACGTCTACAGAATATGAGCGCGTTTTTACTCGACTCGAGAAAACTCGACTTAGATTAACTTCGAGTTGTAATTTCATAAACTCGATTCGACTCGAAAAAATTTCAAGTCAACTTCGAGTTGCAAAATAAGATTTATCAACACAAGTAACTCGAAATTTTTTAACTAAACTCGATCGACCGCTCACTCTAAACGAAGCCACCAAAGTATCGGTATCAAAGATTTTGAGGACTGCCTTTCCCATTGTCTGGGAAAAGAGTGTTGTAATCTTCCCTTCCCTTTGTTCATGTACGATTCTCAAGTAATTTCGATGTGGACTAATTAATTATTGTGAGAGACATGATTGTCCGAGAAGGTTTATATACAGATGGGAATGAGACTTAGATCCCGATGTATTTCGGCGTAATGGCGGCGATGCTAGGACTGACTGCTATTGCATTAGTTATTCTAGTTTGTTCGTGCAAGGACTCGTCGCACAATTCCCATGGTGATGAAACAGAAACCGAAAGCCAGCCGAGAAACCGGAGGCCACCATGCAATTTGAAATGGAGCCCAAAATTGTTGTGATCATGGCGGGTGATGAAAACCCTACGTACATCGCCAACCCCATCCGCCGTATTGAACAAGAAGCTTGAGAGCTTCTCGCTCGATTACTAAACGATCAAAAAACTTTGTGGTGGATCTTTTTTTTTCAGTTGGATGAACGGACGGAAGGCTTCGTTTATTCTGGCTAATAAGCCTAATGAAGCCTGGTGGATTCTCTTGAGAATTGCAGAATCGATTCGAAGTTACTTTGGAATACCATAACAGCAGGGAGTACATTTGAACAGCCAATAATTAGATTAACACGGCGAATTTCGAACTCGAGTTTCCAAATCTATTAATGGAAAAGACTTTACTAATCAAAAGAATAGCTTCCTTGTGTACATAAGCTATCTGGTTCGGTACGATACATGCTTGAAATATTCCTAGACAGAATAGCAAAATTTAAGAATCAATGGTGGTTATTCTACAATAAATGGGATAAAAATAAAGAAAACCGATGATAGAAACCATCGAGCTTTGTTTTGGAAGGTAGTCTAGTGAACAATGAAATCCAAAATGCTGGTGGAATATTGCAAGCCACCATGAACAAGCAAACTTACCTAGACCCCGAAATTGCACATCTGCACAAACTCCTTATCTTTATACACGTATTAGTCCAAAGGTTCTTGTATTGATTCATAGCTATGTCTAGCCAAGGTTTCATGTTTCCGATATAATAAAAGACTGAGGCACTCTTGATCTCATCCATGCTAATGCTTGGATTGTATCCAAGCCCGAGCACATGCCAAGATTTGTCTAATGATTTGGTCAAAGAGTATAATGTGATCAGGCCAGGAGGGAGAGTATCCAGTTGCCATAGAGTTTGATCCTCATTCTGTCAAAGATCACTGAAAGTTAATCACATGTCCATTCTCAAACTTTACAGTTCAGACCATAATTCTTACCATTTGTGTAATCGAGATGTTTACTCGAAATCTGAAGTATAAAACTTGATTTTACAGTTTTACTTATAGAAGTTTTTATTTGATCATCTTTCATTTCTATGGTTTCAAATCTTCATCCAAAACCCAACCTAATACTAAAAGAACTAAGCACAAACTTTCATTTTCGAATTCAAGTTAAGTTATGTAAATGATAATTATCATTTTCCCCATCAAAGCCAAAGAAATCATCTCTTGGAATCATGCCGAGTTGCTAATAAATTTATTAGGATTATATCAAACACCGCTAACTTAAAAAGTAAATCGCACACTTACCAAGTTTTGCCACTCGTGATATGTTTCCGTGCATCTCTCTCGCCTCCAAGCATCAAGATAAAAAATATTCATCCCAAAAGCCCAAGCACGGGCCTTAGGATTAAACATCTCCTTAATGAGAGGATGTGAAAAGTTCAAATACTGAGAGAAACGATGAAATGAGCCAAAGCAGGTCTCGACAGCCCCATTTACCTTTCCAGCTAGATCTATCTTCCACAACCCTGTCAAGTCCTTCTGAACTACGACATCATCATCCAATAACAAAATCTTATTCAATTTTGGGTACATTTCGGGTAAATAAAATCTGAGGTGATTCAACATTGAAGTAGACACGGGGTTCTTTAACTTCATGTTACTCCCATCTTTTGTTGCATTCTCCATCATTTTCTCGGCAGACTCAATCAGCCTTAACACCGGCACGTAGGAAGAATCCAAGAAGCTATAATCTTCCACTGCCTTCACCTCCAAATGGGCACCCCTTTCCACGGGTCTCATTCTAAACCAAACTTTCATTGCAGCTACATTCATTCTATCGGTCACCACATGGAACACATGTTTCCATGGCTACTCGGCATTCTTCACCACAGATCTCACGACCACAGAAACCGCAATCACATTATCTGAAAATACAGCATAATGATACAAACTAGGATCCTCAAACTCAGCCTTAGGCAACTCTTCCTTATACATTTCTAGGTGAGCAACTCTCTCCTCAACAAGCCTCATTGCCAAGCAATGCAAACTCTTAGGATTTGATTTAGCAGCAATCGAGCTCGCCAAAGCTCCGTTCTTTTTGGCCTTTCCTAGCAATTCACTAACGGAGAAAATGGTATCTTTCAACTTCTGAATTTTCAACTGATTATCATAATTCTCTTTAGATTCAGCTACCAACGACCTAGCAAATTTCACTCTATATTTCACTTCTTTCTCAAACTGCCTCAAAACATCCTCATCTAAATTCCCATCGGTCTCAAACAAAGAGGATTTATAACTCGGTTTCGAATTAAGGTCTGAGAAGTTCTTAGCTAAATCATCAAATATTTTCAATTGCCTTGAAATTTCAAGCTTTAGACGCATTGCATAAGCTGCATTTGCTTTCACTAACGTGACGTGATCATTGGCTTGCTTGTATATCAAATCTAACCTTGTTTTAAGAGGATCTGAATTCAATGCCAGAAATGTTTGATGCATGTCAACATTTGCGCCACTTGGAAGACTCTGATCAGGAAAGCAAACAGAAAAAACGGTTAGATCATCTAAAAACGAATTTAAAACCCCCATAAAGATTGAAATTTTGAAGTAAAGACAAAAACCCATATTAAAACTCCAACGGGTATTAAAAAAAAAAACAAGCCCCAAGCTAGAAAGCTTAAAAGAGCATCTGGGCAAGAAAGATGCAAGATTTCGAAGAAATGAAAGTGAAGAGAAATGGAGAAGGTAAAAACCCATATTAAAACTCCAGCGGGTATTAAAAAAAACCCAAGCTAGAAAGCTTAAAACAGCATTCAAAACTAAACGATATGATTTTAAAAAAATTAAAAATTTATCTATTAAAATAATAATTTAAATATTAAATACGTAATTTACTCTCAATGTTATTATTTGATTTTATTTATTTGATTTTATTTCAATCACGCTATATAACATACTTATTATCATAATATTTGTTTTAGTATAATAATATTTAATGTATAATATTTATATATTTTATTAGTTTAATTTTAATTTTAACTAATTCAATAAAAAAAATTATTTATAAATTTTATTAGCTTAATTATCAAATCATTATTATCACCTTTTATCAACCTCGATGTCGACCCAAACACCATCAACCATCGGTCTACCTACACAGAATCAATGACAATACTAATACCAAACTTAAAATTTTTTTAATACACTATCATAAATAAAAAGTTTAATATAAAAATAAGCGCATAAAGAATGTCTCGAAAAATATTTTAGCTTCTAAAGAATTTTTTTATTAAAAATAGATGTCTAAAGTTTTCTCTGTTACAATTTTATGTGTCTATCATAAAAAACTTGTTAAGTGACACATGTCATATCCATATTTTTTAAAAAAAATAAAATATTTTTATAAATACAAATACAAATAATACATATATGACTACTTCACAAAAATTAATCATTATAAAATATAATTACAAATATAAATAATATATATATATGAATATTAAGTATTAATCATTACAAACAAAAATCAAAATAAAACTTAAATTAAAATAAATTTTAGGCTGAAAATTCACACATATGATTTGCACGGAAAAATTCAAACTTAAGACATCAAAAGTCTTAAGATCTTAACTTTATTATTGGACCAAATTTAATTGACTAAAATATGTTTTCTTTTATAGTTGCTAAAGTTTAATTTATTTTATATTATGAATTAAAAATGATTATATTTAAATATTGATAATAAAAAAGTGAAAAGTGTGGATGGAATTAATGTTTGATCAAACAATTTTAGTTAAATGTGTTAGAGTTTACTTTTATCATATTTGTAATCTTCCTATTATTTTTCTTGTCGTTTAGGGGAGTTTACTTTTATGGGCACCAAAGCTTCTTGATCTGATAAATAATTCCCTAACTCAACGAACAGAGCAAAGCAAATGAAAGAAAAATGGTGGAGAAATAAACATTGGGTGTATATATATATTGCAGCAACTTGGACTTGTATGATATCCAGGAGGAACAAACAAGATAATAGCTTCGAGGATATTCAAGCTCAAATGCTCAAAACGTGTTATTCTGGTTTCCTTACATCTTGAAGAACCAAAAATTGTGTTTGAACCGGTTTAGGATAAACCGTGTTCCAAGGCGACATCTTCCAGGTTCATTGAACTCTTGTACGGCTGACTCAGTCGCATATCGGAAATCATCTGACGAAGTTCAGAGGCTTCCTCTTTGAGCTGCGTGTTCTCTTGAAGCGCCTTTTCGTGGCTCTCCGACACATGGTTCAGCTTATCTAGGAGCTGGTGGTTCTCATTCCTCAGCCAGACCACCTGCGCCCAAAGCTCGTCCAGGTGCCTTTGTTTACGCATACGCGACCTGCGTGCCGACTCTCGGTTCGATATCATCCTCCTCTGCTTCCTCTCGATGATGAGGCCCAACTGCTGCTCGTCGGCTTCGTCGGAAGTCGAGTTGCTGCTGATGCACGAGGACACGGGACTGATTTCATGAAGTTGAGGAGGGGCATAGAGATTATAGATGGGGTTCGAGAATCGATTCGGCTCGTGTACGGATATGTTGCTCTGGTTCATGCCGAAATGCGGCGAATATAGGGATGGATAGGAAGGAACAAGGTATCGAACACCTGAAACATCACTAGGCTGCATGGTGAAAGGGACTAAAACCTTGGAAGATAACAATTAAGATGCGAGGAGACTAGGTTTTTATAGAGTAAGAAAAGCTGAACTTAGCATCCGCACGCATCATGACTCGATTATTTTTTTCTCATTCACAAAACTCAAGTTTTGATAACTTTATGTATCGATGGGTGTATCTAGTATGGCAAATACATCTAAATTTGTGCAATTATAGAAGTGATACATAGGTTATGGACATGCATGATTGCAGGCGCACATACAGAGAACAGGGGATGCCACTTGTGTTGTGGATAATCATTTGGGGATCCAATTATGCTTACATCAGAAAGAGAGTTTGTGTTGTGGGGAGTATAATTATTTTATTGGCGGAAAAGCCTATAGCCCAAGAAAGAAAAAGGAGCATTCGAGAAAAAATAATCTATCAGAGTGGGGGTGATTGAACCAATGTAGACTTCTGACGCAACAAAACATTTTCTTATCTCCACTTTATGTTATCTAAATTTAAAAATTAATACACTTTTCTAATTTAAGCGGAGAATCACGATCGGTAAAAAAATAATCGTTGATCGGTATTTAAAAGAGGAAGAAAGAAAATTACCATGAGAAAGAGGAAAAGAAAGTGTGTTGATCATTGTTTAATTATATTTGCATATGCTGGCTTTAACCAAAAATACGAGTTGAGTGCTGCAGTATCTCCAATAAACAAACAATCTGATGCTTATATTTTACCATAATCACTTCTAAATTCAGATTAATAAAAGGGACGTCACCTAAAGTGGGCTATTTATTTAGTCAATAGTATCATTGGAGGGATAAACTCCTCTTCTTTTGTTCCAATTTCTCGTAATTAGTTTGAGTTTTATTTATCATTTTTTAGTATTATTTCTTAGTGGGGAATGACAATGTAAAGCTGGAAATAAGCTATTGAAGACTTGGCTAACTATGTTTTATTGTAAAATTGTACTTGATTTTTGTACGCTTTAAAGGGAGGTATGTCCAATTTTAGCTTCTCAATGTTGCCATAACGGTAACATGGACTGACGTAGAAATTTATGTTAGGGGATGTGAACTTAAAAAATATATTAAAAGTTTTGGTACGAATGGTTGGTTTGATTTTAGCATATGTTGCAATTCTTTTTATTGTTTTTTTTTTGGAATTGATAATAAAATTTTATTTTACACTGTTTAGTATTTTTTATTGACATTACAAATTAATCAAATAGAATACAATTTAACTGGGGGAAAAACATATTTTTATGATCTTATAATTATCATTATAATAATATTTTAATCAAGTTTGCGTATCTTATCTACCTCTCATAATCGCATATCGTATCTCTTTCATTCCTAACAAATAATAATGATATGCAATTCATTTCAGTGTAATAAATAATAAGCTAATGAAGACATTTGTTACTCGATTATAAGATATTACTTTATTACGTTCGATAACTGAAACATGCCCAAGGGACATTTCACTATAAAGACGTTTTGGTTGGGTTATGCACGGAAGGTACTTGATTTAACTGGCTCAAGTGGCCGAACAAACCAACCCAAAAATATTATTATGATTTATTTTCCTTTTTCTCCTTTATAAATTTCATTTGAATAAATCGTATAAAATAATCATTAAATTATATTAAAATAATTATTCAAGTATTATATTTTTAAATCTATCAAATGTTTTTAGCATAAATGAAAATATAATTATTCCTAGATATTATAAATTTGAACAGGTACGTCTTGTCAATATATTAAAAGAGTTATGAACAAATATTATAGTGTAATCAATTAGACTATTAAAAAATAATTATTTAAGTATTAAACTTTTAAAATTCTTAAAATAAATATTAAAGTTTACATATAATTACAAAACGAGGATCATGATAGTAATTATCGTAACTATTATTAAAGAGATCATATAATATATTAAATTAATAAATAATTTTTCATTTAGTCTTTTAATTGTAATTAAAAATTAAATTTTATATTTTTAAAATTAAAAAAGAAATGTAATTTTTTTATTAATGATCTCACGTAGTAGGAATTGCTTATAATCAAATTGCACATTATCTTTGGGTTATAAATTTAATATTTATCTTATAATTTTTAAAAGTTTAATTTTAAAAAAATATAACAGAATTTGATTATCATTTATATAATTTTACCAAATTCCTTCGAAAGGAAAACAAAAGTTAAATGACATTAAGGAACATGATAGTCGTAATCGCGGGGCCTTTACTAACGAGAGCGCATGGTTGCCTAGTGCACCTCCCTACAACCTTATTGCTCAGCCTGTCATCTCATTCAAAAGAAAAACCTTTTCTTTTTATAGTTATTTATTTATTTATTTTCAAAGGCTATTTTCAGGATCGTGACAAATCAAATTACAAATTTGGACAGTGTCACGTTGTACCATTTATGCACCCCACTAAGCTTGCCTAAGACAATAAACTTTGGTTGATTGGTGTCAATAATACCCCACCTCGTGCCATGTGAAAAATCACTGTAATTTATGTCATTATTCATTTATAAAAACAATTATATAAAAATTAATTACATTTTGATAACTTCGTCTATAATTTAATTGCATCAGCAATTATATAAAGTACAATTTGATCTACACATCTAATTTATTTTTATAATTCAATTAGGTTATTAAAAATTTACCAATTGTTTGTCGTCTTCAATAAGGAGGGTAAACTACAGGGGTGATCACTAAATTATAGCCTCTTTTCATTTTGACCACTGACGTTTCAATTCGATCAATCATATCACCCAACAATTTAAATGGTTCAATCAAACCACTTACTGTTAATTTTAACGAAGTTGATGATGTGGTAGTTAATAAAATTGGCATAATTTTATATTTGGTCCTTAATATTCACACATTATATTAATTTAGTCATTATTTTAATTTAATTAAATAAATGTAATCCTCAAATCCAAAGGTGTTGCATGTCATTGTATGATTGGAAGCTGAATTTAATTAATTTTAATATTTTAGTTAAATTATTTGCCCCACCAATCAGGTGGTGATATGTGTCACAAAAATATTAATTTTAGAAGGGAGCTTGGGGTGGTATTCAAACTAGGTACCGGAGTCCCTAGACAAGCCTTTTCCACTAAGCCAAACTATTTATTTGGTTTACAATTGCACAACTTTTTATATATTGTGTTTAAGGTTATTTCACACATATATATTAAAACAAATCTAACAAGTAAATTATATTTTATATTATATATAAATATATATTAAATTATAGTTAATGTAAAACTTAAAAATAAAAATGAGTTTAATATTTTATTTAAATTATTTTCTAAAATTATTTTTAAATAATAATATATAAATTATACTAAAATTATTTAGAGAATCCAAATAATAAAATAAAAAAAATAAAATTAAAAATAAAATTTTAAACTCATTTTCATTTTTATGTCTTACCATAGTGTGTGTATGCGAGTGTGTATAAAATGTTTTGTGTGTATAAAATGTTATGCAATTTTGAACCAAATAGGTAGTTTGACATAGTGGTAAAGGCCTATTTAGGGACTCCTTAAGATCCCTAGATTGAATCCCCCAAGCTCCCTTGTAAGTTTAATATGTTTTCTCTTTACAGAAGTGGTGACACATACCATCACCTGATTGATAGAAAAATTTATTTAATTAAAATATTAAGATTAATGAAATTCACTCTCTAATCATATAGTAACACATGACACCTCCAATATGGAGTGTTAATTTTATTTTATTAAAATAGTGACTAAATAAATAGAATGTCTGAATATCAAGGACCAAATATATAATTACTCCAATTTTATTAACTGTCACATTATCACCTCTATTAAAAATTAACGGCTAGTGACTTGATTGAATTATTTAAATAGTTAGGTGGTCTGATTGATTGAATCAAAACACGAAAAAGAATTATAGTTTAGTGGTCACCAGTATAGTTTACCCTAAATTATTTGATTAATAGGTGAATGGTGGGAATTTGAGTAAGAGTGAGAAGCACGTAATTATTAAATTTCATACGTGCTTACGTACTAGGGTTAAGGTCTTTATCCCACTTACCATTATTAATTAATCGTGGTGTTTTGTTAAAATATTGACCCATTTTACTTTTTATTTGTTGCGGCAAAGCAAAATTAATTCGTCGTCCACAATGTCTTTTTCGATGCTATCGTTTCTTGTCGTTATTGTGATGGTTCTTATTTCTCATCGCCTCGGATTTTAATCTATAAATTATATAATTTTATTAAATAAACAAACACATATAATATTCATAAATCTGATGATATTATTTAATTAAAATAACGTTATATGTGTGTTATATATTTTTATAAATAGTTTTGATAACTGTTCTGCACTACTATCTCGTCCATCGAGTTAATCTGATTTAATTAAAGGATAAGTAATCCTAACGAGTCAATCACATTCGTTTACATTAAATTAACTTTTCTTCGTTGGTTAATAAATAATCTAATAAAAATATTATACTAGTACGAGTCAAGTTACTTCAGTAATTAAAGAAATTATTATTATTCTTAAATTTGAACACTAGAAATTGCAAGGTATTTGAGCGTTTATTATTAAATTGTTAAGAGTTTTAAAACAGATACTACCACATGTAAACACTCTATATTAATCAAAAGAATATCACATCATTAAATGGCTACAATAATTATATTTTAAGATTAATATTTTTTTTGAATAGTCTATAATAATTATAAAAAATATATGTTTAAAATCTTTATTAGTTATTAATGACATACACATACAGATAACGTAATTGTTTTGACTCGAGATCTCTAAAGAGAATAACACTCTCTTTACTATTGAATATGTGTCATTGTTAGGCATGTAAATGAACCGAACGTTCAACGAACCGTTCGGCGGGAAGTTCGTTTATTTATTAAACGGATGAATACGAAAAAGATTTTTTGTTCGTTTAATTAAATGAACGAACACGAACATAGGACTCAATCGTTCATTTACATTCGTGAACATTCGATAATATGTTTGTTCACTTATATTCATTTATGTTCGTTCGTTTATGTTTAACACAATCTCTCT